TGATAAAGAATTGACGACACAGCGTCGGTTTGAACGAACGGTACTATGGCAGCCACTATAGTCTTAGAACACAAGATATGAAGAGTTACGAGTTGGGAATGACTCCCAGCTCCTACAAACCCCAAGAGCCGAGGTACAGTGATGTGGAACAGTGCCACACTGTCCCCAACCACGAAGGGTCTCGAAACTACCCTTCACTAGGGCCTACACCAAGTGAAATGTTACACTACACAAAGTAATGTAACTATCTTCAATATCTTGAGGTGTACCCTTTTGGCAAGCTTCGAAATCACTTGAGGCTTGACACCAAGGCCCGGGCTCTTCATCACAAACTCATCCTTGAGTTCTTGATGGGTCTGCTGCACACACCTGCGACACGCCGAACGTTCGACACAGGACAAAATAGAAACCGCGCACGACAAAATAGAAACCGCGCGCGAGACACAAACGACCGCGTAACACGCGTCTAGCGATAACTCGCTATTGACTCGACACACACACTCGACATCATGACTCAACATTCACACACAATTATAAGCATGAAATATATATTATCTCATGCCCTCATACCATTCCATACACACACACATTCACGCACACGGACAACAAGCCGAGTGCAAACCGTAGGGTTGCACCAACAAGAGAAAGGACAGGGCGAAGCAGTATGGAAAGGGGTAGTATGAGTAGGTGGAAAGCCCTGTTGAAGATTGTTCTGTGTGCGAGGATTGGCATGTGTAAAGGAAGTCTTTCTTGCATGCGTGTACTCGTATGGTTCAGAGGGATGAAGAGGAATGCGCATGTGTAGAAATAACTTTTCATGACCTCCCTTATGAGTCTTCCCAGTCATTCCATAACTTTTCATCACCCAGCTTCCCACATCCCTCTGCTGTTCCCTTTCATCTTACCCACACCCCTCGAGGTGCTAGTACAGACGCGCATGCTGCTGATTGCACTCGACCCCACGGTACCGCACTCCACCACACAGCACATGCGCGCAGCCATCCCCAACTCGTATGCAGAGATCCTTGCGGAGAGTCACTCTACAACGGTAGTGAGCTAGACTACGGGGGTTGCACGAACTACTAGGAGTGATCGTAGCTTTGCTTGCACATACACAGGAGAAATCGGCAAGAGTTTCACTAGGCAAAGTTGGAATTACAGAATGATTGAACAAGCAATGACAACAATGACTACATCAGGCACCTAGCAACTCTGCAGCTAGCATGGTCGACCGCCAGCACAGCTTGGTCGACCGCCTGCCAACGTTGCGTAGAGGAGCCGCGCCAGTACTGCAGAAAGGCGACCTGCCAACACTGCAGGTCGACGGCGTGCCAACGCTGCAGAAGAGCGGCTGTCAAGCGTTGCCCTGTAGAAGACAGCAGTGCGCACGCTCGCAGGTGCGCGCAGACGATTGGCCCGACTTGCATCGTTGTGCATCCGTCGGCTGTTGTCTGCGCCTGACAAGCCACATCGATTTCGGGATACCAACCCGAAGTTGCCTTCGCCATCGCGACCTCGACGACGTTCGCGTGCCTCCGCAGAACTCGTCGAGCAGGTTACCCGGTCGACCTGATCGACCACCAAGTGCTCTCTGGTCAACCATCAGTGCCTCTGGTCGACCACCAGGTGCCTCTGGTCGACCACAGCTCCTGTCGAGCTACCCCCTGGTCGACGGACCCCTTTCGTCGACCAGAACTGTCAGCTGTTGTCGCTAAGCTCCCCTCGTCGACCACTGCTCACTTGTCAGGTCGACGGACTGCTCCGTCGGCCTCCCGGTCGAACTGCCCCTCCTGGTCGACGGCCCACCCGTCGCCCAGCCCAGTCAGCTGCAGCTGTCGAGCTCCCTGGTCGACAGCGACACCACAGCGGTCCCCTGCAGCTCGACGAAGTCCGTCGAGCAGCTCTCCCACTGTGAACGGTCGGCTGCTTCTCCCGTACATCCGACCAAGTCGTCGGCGCTGCCCAAGCGAGGGCGGGGCCAACACTCCATTTCCGTTAACAATCCTCGCTGTCACCTCGCTGCACGTGCGTCCAGATGTCGTCGCGACGAGCATCCTGCGCCACATCAGCATGCCGCTACGGGACACCCAGAGCCAATCATGTCGCCAGACTGTCAGCATGCGATTCGCCATTCCTTCGTCTGTGCTGCTGCCGACAAGAGTGGTGGAGGGGGGCTGGGAGTGATGGGATGGGGCCCTCGGTCTGGAGTGAGAGGGAGTGAGGGAGTGTGTGGATTGAGAGGGAGTGGGAATGAGAGAGAGAGGGAAAGTCGTGATGGTGGTCCCATTCTGGCAGTGGCGCTCTGTGCATGGATTGAGTGCTGCTGAGAGTTCGGTAGTTATGAGTTTTGGTGCTGCTGCATATCACATGCCGAATATGCGTAGGTATGTCGCTACCCACTTATGCCTTGTAATCTGTAATCATGCCTTCTTCTCATTGTATTTAGAGTTTTGGTCATACCAAATTGCATTGGAATGGGAAGTGATGAATTCAACAAAAAAACAAATATGGCGCCGGAGCTGCATGGCGTGTCCTTGGCAGATAAAGTGCTGCCATGAACATAAGGGCGTACATAGAATTGCTAAATCATGCGAGTAAATTGATGAGGATACAGTAGAGAACATTACGGCCCAAAACTTCATAGTGAAAAAACCAGCAATACGTCGTAGGTGGCGTGACGTATAAGACGGGCGTGACTTGTGATGCTCCTGCCCCCTGCATCTTCTCGAGTCGACTAAAAAGACAGCAATTGCCTGTCCTCACTTGCAGATTCCTTCTTCCTAGTCAACTGTCTACTCCATGCCACGCCACACCACACAGCACCACACCCCACCGCACCACACCACACCGCACCGCACTCCGCCCCATAACAACAAGCGGTCTTGCCCCCTTGTCCCACCGGCCTTAATGGTGGCGTCATGCACGGCGCGGTCGATCTCGTCCGTGGTCACCCCCGGGCAGATCATTGCTGCTGCCACGTCCAACACCTCTCGAGCCACCTGCAAGCACACGCAGGGCCAGGCGCGCAACAGGAGCATGGGGGAGCGGCATGGGGAAGGGGCAGGGGTAGGAAGCGTGGGGTAAGGGCGTATCATTGCTGCTGCCACGCCCAGCACCTCTCGCGCCACCTGCAGGGGCACATGCAGGGGCGCGCAATAGGGCCAGGCAGGTTCCAAAGGGGCACGGGTCGGCGGACAGAGGGGTAAGCGGCAGTCAGAAGCAGGACGGTAGGGGTCCGGTTTGGAGGCGGTTGGTGAGAGGAGGAGTAGGGTGCAATGGCGTGTGTGAGGTTGCGAGCTGTACAGTACAGGGGCATGTCGGAAACGGCCCACAACTTGCAAGAGTGCGTGTGAAGGAGTGCGTGGGATTGGCAGCGAGAAACAAGAACGGGGCAGGGAGTTTACATGGACTTACCTTGCATGTATGCCGCATTCTTGCTATTTGCTCTGGCGACTTGATCTGCACACACACAGGCACACACACAGGCACACATCCAAACACGCACAGCAACCGGTGCACGATTGACTTTAGGGAGGAGAGCAGTGTGGGCGAGGGAATGGGATCGGGGAGGAGTGGCCAGGACTGAGAAGGGGCAGCATCAAGTCACGGATCTTGAGGCGCGTAACAAATAGTGATGCGGGAAGAGTGAAGGGAGAAAAGGAGAGGCAGTGGAATAATGGCACGATTGAGAAACACAGTGCTGCGGGAGGGTAAGACACGGGGGAGAGAAGGGGGGGGGGGGGGAGGACGGAGGGTGAGGGGGAGGGAGAGCGGGAGGGAGAGGGGGAGGAAGACGGGGAGGGATAAGGGGAAGAAGAGGGAGAGGGGGAGGAATATGGGAGAGCGAGGAGGAAGGGAAGGGGAGGGGGAGGGAGTGGGGGAGGGAGAGCGGGAGGGAGAAGGGTAGGGCGAGAGGCAAGTCACCTCGACGCTGTTTTGCCATTGGCTGTTGGGCTCCTCCTCTGGTCGCCCCTGGGAGGCGCGAGAGAGGAGCGAGTGAAGGAGAGAGGAGGGGGTTGCAAAGAGGAGGGAGTGGAGGTTAGAGGGTGGGGAGTGAGTGGGTGGAGGGCGGTCAAGAGAGAGGGAGAGTGTGCACAGATGGATGCAAGCAAGTGAGAAGCAGGCGAGACAGGTGACATTGTGACTGGCGGGATTGATTAAATGCGCCGTGGGGAGAGGGAGGTAGTGCGGGCAGGGCAGGTGGTGCAAGGCGAGGCATGGCATGGCACGCCCTGGCAGGCCGCCACGTGTGGTAGCGTGCACGCACTTGGTTTGGTCGGTGGTCAACACCTTGTGGGCGTGTGGAATGGACCATGGGACATGCGATATTCAGCTTAGGATATGGGCATGGGCATGGGCATGGGCATGGGCATGGGCATGGAAGGCTGATTGCGCGTACGCACTCCGCAACAAAACTTGGGCATTCTTGAAATCGCCGCACTTCACGGCCCTACAGATTGGCCTCGTTTTGCGATAATTTTTGCGCAACTGCATCCTTCACATCACGACCCTTCGTGCCTGGCATCATCGGCCGATCAGTGAATTTGGATGGTAACCAGCTATTCACGATATTTTTGCGATTCCTCGCAGGCATATTATAACGAATCGCTGTCGTCGGAACTGCACATTTGTCGTCAAGAAAAGCAAAATGGTGTCACAGAAACCAGATTTGCGCACTCCAGATTTCCGCGTCTTTGACGGCGCCACCAATGATGGTTTCAAGTAGCGAGCTTCGACATCTCCTCCCGTTTGTGGCCGAGTCCGCGTCGCACAAACAGCCTCAAGTTGCCTTCACGAACCAGTTCCCTGCAGAGCGTTTGGCAATATATATAGTTCTACGCAATTCCGTACTTTTCATCAGTTGAAGATTCACAATCCAAACCCATTTGACTTTCATCAGTTGAATCCAATTCGATTTTTTTTTTTTTTTATCCATGGCTGTGCTTCGCGTTTTGTTGCTGATGGTCTGTGTGCTCGTCTCGGCGCACGTGCCGGCCGCGATGGCGGAATTTAACCCTGCTCTCGCCACTCTCGCCGCAAGCCCCGAACATGAGGACCTGCTAGCCACGGAGAAGGCGCTCACGGGGAACGTGCGCGAGGACGCGGATGTGATTATAACGAACCGAGCGCTTGCGGCGGAGGGCGGGGAGTCGCCGCATGCGCGCGCTGTTCGCGTTCTGGCGGAGGAGGACTTTCTCTCCCCTGGGGAAGCGGAAGGGGCTGCGTTGGCGGTGGAGGAGTATAGACGGAGCCTGAAGAAGAACAAGGGGAAGAAGGGGAAGAAATGCAAGAAGGGGAAGAAGGGGAGGAAATGCAGGAAGGGGAAGAAGGCCCTGAAGGCGAAGGCAAAGAAGCTGAGGAAGCAGGCCAAGGCTCTCATCGCCAAGGCTAAGGCGCTCGAGAAGAAGGCCAAGTAGCTGTGGAAACTGGATACCAAGGGGAACCTATATTTTCGTGGGGTGGGGATAAAGAGAGAAGTCGTGGAAGCTGGTCGGAGATAGGAAAAATAAACTTTTTTTTCGTAGGTTGGGGAGAAGGGACACACGTGGGTTAGATTTACAGGGTTTGGATTGGACGGCGTTTATGCCTGCTGATACCGTAAGTGATCTCTGTGGGGTGCTTGCTCAAAGGGGGTTTCTGGTCTAGTGGACAATGCATCTTTCACCCGCCCGTAATGTACTATTCCATGTTTAATCTACGGTACGAGTAATCCGTTCTTAGCGTGTTTTCACTTACAGTGACAGAAGTTCGAAGTTAGGAAGGTCCCAAGCACAAGCACATCAGCAGAAGGTCTCTCCATAACGGTCGCTGTCCGGCACACTAAAAAAAGGCCTACTGGTCCGGCAAACAGGCTGATAAAATAGGCTAAAAAAAAACTGGCCGATCAAGGACGGCAGAGCCATGCGAACTAGAGTTTCGAATGAGTGAGAGAAGGCCGGCAGCCCGAGCAGCTTAGGTCCATGAGGTTGTGATCTTGGCCCCAGGTGTCCCTGGCTTGAGTTACGGTGGTAGTGTAGTGACGTTGTGCCACAGTCAATAACTCACTAACGCACTAACCTACACAGGTGTTTTAACTAAGTTGCTGTCACATATAGAATAGACACCATGACTCCAAACTGGGGCTCTATTGGCCTTAGGTCCATGAGGTTGTGTTCTTGGCCCCAGGTGTCCCTAGCTTGATGGGCCGATGGGGCCTTGGTGCTGGTGGGAGAAGGGCGAGCGGCGAGGGGAGAGGGGAGAGGGGAGTGGGGAGAGGGGAGAGGGGAGAAGGGAGAGGGGAGAGGGGAGTGGGGAGAGGGGAGAGGGGAGAGGGGAGAGGGGAGAGGGGAAGAGGAAGAGGAAGAGGAAGAGGAAGAGGAAGAGGAAGAGGAAGAGGAAGAGGAAGAGGAAGAGGAGGAGGAAGAGGAATGATGCATGCAAGAGGGGAACGGGACAGCTTGGGTTACGGATGGAAGGAAATTGGAGGAAGAGAAACGGTGGTAAGGGCCTGGTGGGGACTGGTGGGTGGGGACCGGTGGGTGGGGACCGGTGGGTGGGGACCGGTGGGTGGGGACCGGTGGGTGGGGTAATGGTGGGTGCAAAAAGGTGTGGGGGGGGGTGAGTGACTGACCGTTGGGGTTGCCTTGCTCGTAGAAGCGCCTGAAGAGGTCCACTGCCTCGCTGGCCAGTATGCCCCCCTCACACTGCAACATGCCCTGTGTGCCTCCGCTGCTGGTGGTGCGGAGGTGGGGAGGTGGGGAGGTGGGACGAGGGGGCGTGGGACGGTGGGGAGAGAAAGGAAGAGGGGTCCGGAAGCAGATGTATGTGAGTTGGTAGGTGTGGCGATGTGAGCAAGAGTTTTAAGCCGAGAGTCATTCAAAACTGGTACGTGTGTTGATGAGTGGGGAGGCAATGCGAGCGTGCATGAGTACACAGAAAGATGCGCCTCAATATCAGATGCGCGCACGAGTAGTTAGGTGGTGGAGATGCCTTTCTGAGGCGCCTCAAGATAAGCACACAGACAAGTGCGCACCTAGGCGCATGAGTAGGTGTTGGAAACGGAGGGGTGGGTTTGCGTCGACTCAACTCAAGCGTCTCGTCTTGTGGTGATGTCAGCAACACAGATAGCAGGTGTGTGCATGACAACACAGATAGCAGGTGTGTGCATGAGTAGGTGTTTGGAAGAATGATGAGAAAAGGGGCGACGAGAGGAAGGGTGGGGAGAGGAATGGAGAGGAGGGGAAGAAAGGCGGAATGGCAAGTAGATAATCTCATGCAGGCATGAAGTGCATGATGTGGTGTGGAAAAGGAAAAAGTGGAGCGAGGAGTGTGTCTAAAGAGGGGAACAGGCACGGTTGGTAACTTGGTACTGCAAAAGGTGGGCAGGGATTGTAGCGTACAAGGGCGGGCAGGGGCGGCATCCTTTGGCGTGTACTGACAGCACGGATCCACAACCGCCGAAGCGGTCGTTGGGACAGCCGTAGAACACACGGGTGAGACCTGGGGGAGGAGGAGGGAAGGGGGGGAGGGGAGGAGCGGAGGAGGGACAGAGGGGAAGAGGGGAAGAGGGGAGGAGAGGAGAAGGGTAAGAAACGAGCACTGAGGAAGGGAGTTGGAACCCTGAAGCATCCCAACAATGAGAGTCAGGGCTAGCATGCAGGGATTCATTGGAGATTCATGTGGAGAGGGCGAATGCAGAGGGGTGTTGAGAGGTGCAGTGGGGCCGAGCGGGAACAAAGGGGGGAGAGTAAGGGCGGCTGAGAAAGGTGAAGAGCACAGCCGGAAGCCTGGGCACATGGGGTGGAATGGGGAGGATGGGGGAAGATGGGGGACGGGTGAGAACGGGGAGAAGGGGATGGGGAAAAAGGGGGAAAGGGGGTGGAGAGAGGGAGGAGGCGGAGGTGGAGGGGGATGATGCGGAATGGGATGAGGTGGAGGGGGAGGATGCGGGAAGATTTATTTTTAATTAACAATGGGGTAATTGCTGGCTCTGAGATGCCAGTTGTTTGGCATCCCACCCATCCCACCCATCCCACCCATCCCACCCATCCCACCCATCCCACCCATCCCACCCATCCCACCCATCCCACCCATCCCACCCATCCCACCCATCCCACCCATCCCACCCATCCCACCCATCCCACCCATCCCACCCATCCCACCCATCCCACCCATCCCACCCATCCCACCCATCCCACCCATCCCACCCATCCCACCCATCCCACCCATCCACCCATCCCACCCATCCCACCCATCCCACCCATCCCACCCATCCCACCCATCCCACCCATCCCACCCATCCCACCCATCCCACCCATCCCACCCATCCCACCCATCCCACCCATCCCACCCATCCCCACCCATCCCACCCATCCCACCCATCCCACCCATCCCACCCATCCCACCCATCCCACCCATCCCCACCCATCCCACCCATCCCACCCATCCCACCCATCCCACCCATCCCACCCATCCCCCACCCATCCCACCCATCCCACCCATCCCACCCATCCCCACCCCATCCCCACCCATCCACACCCATCCCACCCATCCCACCCATCCCCCATCCCACCCATCCCACCCATCCCACCATCCCACCCATCCCACCCATCCCCATCCCACCCATCCCACCCATCCCACCCATCCCACCCATCCCACCCATCCCACCCATCCCAGCCCATCCTCACCCATCCCACCCATCCCACCCATCCCACCCATCCCACCCATCCCACCCATCCCACCCATCCCACCCATCCCACCCATCCCACCCATCCCACCCATCCCACCCATCCCACCCATCCCACCCATCCCACCCATCCCACCCATCCCCCACCCATCCCACCCATCCCACCCATCCCACCCATCCCACCCCATCCCCCCCATCCCCATCCCACCCATCCCACCCATCCCACCCATCCCACCCATCCACCCATCCCACCGCCATCCCACCCATCCACCCATCCCACCACCCCACCATCCCACCCATCCCACCCATCCCACCCATCCCACCCATCCCACCCATCCCACCCATCCCACCCATCCCACCCATCCCCACCCATCCCACCCATCCCACCCATCCCACCCATCCCACCCATCCCACCCATCCCACCCATCCCACCCATCCCACCCATCCCACCCATCCCACCCATCCCACCCATCCCACCCATCCCACCCATCCCACCCATCCCACCCATCCCACCCATCCCACCCATCCCACCCATCCCACCCATCCCACCCATCCCACCCATCCCACCCATCCCACCCATCCCACCCATCCCACCCATCCCACCCATCCCACCCATCCCACCCATCCCACCCATCCCACCCATCCCACCCATCCCACCCATCCCACCCATCCCACCCATCCCACCCATCCCACCCATCCCACCCATCCCACCCATCCCACCCATCCCACCCATCCCACCCATCCCACCCATCCCACCCATCCCACCCATCCCACCCATCCCACCCATCCCACCCATCCCACCCATCCCACCCATCCCACCCATCCCACCCATCCCACCCATCCCACCCATCCCACCCATCCCACCCATCCCACCCATCCCACCCATCCCACCCATCCCACCCATCCCACCCATCCCACCCATCCCACCCATCCCACCCATCCCACCCATCCCACCCATCCCACCCATCCCACCCATCCCACCCATCCCACCCATCCCACCCATCCCACCCATCCCACCCATCCCACCCATCCCACCCATCCCACCCATCCCACCCATCCCACCCATCCCACCCAGGTTCCTTAAGAGCGTGTATCGCACTCCGCCGTCCTAAGGCTTGGCCCTTGCTGCGGATTGTGCATGGCCAATCGTACTTGGCAACATGAGGGAATCTAGGACGAGCGAAGGAACTGAGGTGTGAAGCGGGAGTAACGTTGAGGGGAAAAGAGAGGAGAGAGAAGAGGAGCGAGGAGAGGAGCAACGAGAGGGGAGGGGATGAGAGGAGAGGAGAGGAGAGGAGAGGAGAGGAGAGGAGAGGAGAGGAGATGGGGAGACGCACGTTTCTGGTTTCGTTGGTTCTATTGCTGCCTGCTGCTACGACTTTATTGTTGTGCACTATCACACAGCTGCAAGGAAATGGTAAAAAGAGAGAAAGAAGGAACGAAGGAAAGAAGGAACGAAGGAAAGAAGGAAAGAGGGAAAGAGGGAAAGAGGGAAAGAGGGAAAGAGGGAAAGAAGGAAAGAAGGAAAGAAGGAAAGTAGGAAAGAAGGAAAGAGGGAAAGAAGGAAAGAAGGAAAGAAGGACAGAGGGAAAGAAGGAAAGAGGGAAAGAAGGGAATAGGGAAAGAGGGAAAGAAGGAAAGAAGGAAAGAAGGAACGAAGGAAAGAAGGAAAGAAGGAAAGAAGGAAAGAAGGAAAGAGGGAAAGAAGGAAAGAAGGAAAGAAGGAAAGAGGGAAAGAGGGAAAGAGGGAAAGAGGGAAAGAAGGAAAGAAGGAAAGAGGGAAAGAAGGAAAGAAGGAAAGAGGGAAAGAAGGAAAGAAGGAAAGAAGGAAAGAAGGAACGAAGGAAAGAAGGAAAGAAGGAAAGAAGGAAAGAAGGAACGAAGGAAAGAAGGAAAGAAGGAAAGAAAGAAAGAAGGAAAGAAGGAAAGAAGGAAAGAAGGAAAGAGGGAAAGAAGGAAAGAGGGAAAGAAGGAAAGAAGGAAAGAAGGAAAGAAGGAAAGAAGGAAAGAAGGAAAGAAAGAAAGAAGGAAAGAAGGAAAGAGGGAAAGAAGGAAAGAAGGAAAGAGGGAAAGAGGGAAAGAGGGAAAGAGGGAAAGAGGGAAAGAAGGAAAGAAGGAAAGAAGGAAAGAAGGAAAGAAGGAAAGAGGGAAAGAAGGAAAGAAGGAAAGAAGGACAGAGGGAAAGAAGGAAAGAGGGAAAGAAGGAAAGAGGGAAAGAGGGAAAGAAGGAAAGAAGGAAAGAAGGAACGAAGGAAAGAAGGAAAGAAGGAAAGAAGGAAAGAAGGAAAGAAGGAAAGAAGGAAAGAAGGAAAGAAGGAAAGAGGGAAAGAAGGAAAGAGGGAAAGAAGGAAAGAAGGAAAGAAGGAAAGAAGGAAAGAAGGAAAGAAGGAAAGAGGTAAAGAGGGAAAGAGGGAAAGAAGGAAAGAAGGAAAGAAAGAAAGACAAAAACACAAGAGAAAGGAAGAGTTATCAGGGGGTAAGGTACATGAACATATGAACATACGACGAGTGGGGATGGATGGAGAAAGTGGGGGTGGGAGGGCGGTTGAGGGGGACAGGGGGGAAGGGGGGAGAACAAGCAGGAAGGGAAGCGAGAGACGTGCAAGGGAAAGAGAGAAAACGATGGGAACAGGGACGGGTAAAGGAGATAGGAGGAAGGGGAAGGGGGCAGGCCGCAGGGGAGAGGTGGGAGAGAGGGGATAGGGGATGGGGGAGGGGTGGGGGATTGGTGAAGGGAGGCAGGGAGTGCGAGGCTGTGCTCACCCCACGGGGACTTCTAGTCTCGTCAGTGCAGCCTCCGCCTTTCCTTGCACGCACACACCGGCACGAGGGCACGAGGAGACGAGGAGAGGAGCGCAGGAGGGCACGAGGGCATGAAGGCAGGACAGGAGGGAACGGGCGTATGGGAGGAGTACGGACACGCACCAGCATGTAGCACGTCAGATGGCAGTTAGAGAAGAACAGTTAGGGAAGAAAGAGGTACGGAGGAAGGCTGATTATTCGCAGGGCGGCTGGAGAGAAGCCGACGGCGGGGCGAGAGAAGGGGAGCGGACGGGAGCAGGGGGGGCGGTTGAATGGGGAGGCCGCAGCGAGGCGGGAGAGAGGGAAGGAGGGGGGGGGGGAGAGGAGCGGAATGGGGCGGGGGGGAGGACAATAGAGCAGCGCAGAGGAGAGCAGCGCGGAGCGGGGGGGCAAAGAGCGCCACGTCATGCACCTGCGCGATGGCGAGACGCATGAAGTGGACCCGCCTCTCGCGCTCCGAGACAAACGGCGCAAATGCCGCCGCGTCTCCCGCCATGCCGCAAGGGGAAGCTGCGTTGGAGATCGAGATCGAATCTGATTTTCGGTTTGATATTGAGAATGGAGTTTGCCGGGAAGGCCGCCTGAGATTGGATTGAGTGACACAGCGAAAATGACGCCTGGGGGTATGGGGCGGAAAGAAAGCTTGTGACTTCTCAATTTAGGTAGTTTGTTACGAGTTACAAAGAGTGCGCGACTGGATAAATTGACGTACCAGTGAAGCCCTATGCATGCAGTGACATAGGAGGGGAAGTTAGGAAGAGGTCCGGTACAGGTTAGGACGCTCGTGTCACATTGACAGGGTCGACCCTGAACAGGCTCAAAATATGGCGGGATTAGAGAAGTTTAGATGCAAAAAGCAAGACTACAGTACGGTGGCGGATCCATAATACACCCTCTTACTCGCTATTACGGATTCCGGTATACTGAACCCTGTGGCTCATCGCGCCAGATGACACATTGTAGTCAACTTTCGCACCAGTACGGTTTGACGAGTTTAGTTGCGTTTGACGGCGGTCTGATTTGTTTTAGAATGGCTCGGAAGGGTACCCAGGATAATGAAATTTCAGGTTTCCCACCTGCTAGAGACGGTTATTGTCCACTTTCCGAATACGTCCAAGGAACAGTACTACTGTTGAGTGTGTTTCCGCAGTTTCCAATACAGTAGCGAGAAACAGGGTGTAGACGAATGATTGTCCCACGTGCAATATTGAACTCAGCTGGGTCCGAACAGGCCTCAGGACTACAGGGCATTTTACCCTGATTAGCCTGTTTTTCAGGGTGCGTTTTTCGGACCACACTGTAAATACAGGATTCAAGGGTTCTACCACCCTGTCACGATCAGGCCTCGTGAAATTTTGACCCTTGTTTTGCAGTTGTTGGTTTCTGTAGCACACTGCCTAGGCCGAGTTCGGTAGTGGCAGCACTCTGAGTTTTTTTTCCCCTTAGTAGAAATTTAGCCAATCCTATGCTCCCGTCAGTTGCAGCCAAAACGTGGCTGTCACTCAAGTCCTCGCCACGGAGACACTCACACATACACCACGTCAAGCATCGGATGTGCTCGAAGACTGGCTAAGTCATTTCCACGGAGACACTCACACATACATCGCGCCAAGCATCGGATGTGCTCGAAAACTGGTTCCACGGAGACACTCACACATACACCGCGTCAAGGACGCAAAAACTGCAGCGTATATTGTTTTTTCACCCTGCCATACCAGACCAGAAAATATTCAACACCCTGCCATTTCTAGGGTAAGGCGCGGCAGCCACACTGCAGTGACAGTGTGACTTTGACCTGGAACTTTGATTTGGCAGGGTGGCCCAAAACGAATCAAGACCCCTGGGTCCGAACGAACGAAGGAAAGCGAAGCGAGGAACGTACTTCCAAGAGTTTGGATTGGACGCGACATACTCACTACAGAGCCAGCTCAGTAAGGATTTGAGTACATTTGCATAGTGGCGTTTCAGAAGTTTTGAAGTTACCCTTTTACAATCAGTTTCACTCGTCCCACAATCTATGTGATCACATGTGTGGGAAAATGAACATTGAATTACCTTGAATTTCTTTTCTGCGCCCCGAGCTTAAAACGAAAGTGCAAAATGGTGAACCCTGTCCCAACTTGAAAGACGCCAGGTGCTAGCGGACTGATTGTGAGCGGGAAAATCACTGTTTGGTCTGTGATCTGAAAGGGCAGTAACAACATTGTGTAGAAAAATGATTGGTGCGCGATAGAGTGGGTCTGCACCAGACCACCCCATTGGTTGCGCCACCTGACACAAGTCGCTCGTCCCTCCTCGCGCATCAGAGTTTTACTCGCGGGAAACAAATTTGACATTGGAACACAGCACGAAACAGAGAACCCACTCTCGAACAAGAGCACCAACCTTCGATTTGGGTCCACTTGAATTTCAAGTGGGGCCGGGGTTACACGTCTATGATGCATTGCGTGAACGTCGCCACTAGGAATCAGTGATAAGTACCGCAATGAACAACTACGTGGCCATGACAGCAGACATAGCGCCACTTTTGTGGTATTGTAGCAGAGGGTAGAGGTGGGGCCATCTTACGTGCAGGGAATGGGGACTTTGACGGGATTATTCTGTGTACCTCTCTAGCTCACTATCCCACCTGAATAGCCAGCCGTGTCAGTATACCTCCAATGTGAGTTTGCTTTGCCCTGAACTTTGCTGTTTCTTAACCGTCGAACAGTGTCTTTATTGACAAGCATTATAGGGGCGAAACGCCAAACTGGGAGGATGGTGCGGGCCAGGGGGAAACAAGGTGGGGAATGGGGGGAAGGTAGGTGGGGAACAAGGGGGAGGATGGTGCGGGCCGGGGGGAAACAAGGTGGGGAATGGGGGGAAGGTAGGTGGGGAACAAGGGGGAGGATGGTGCGGGCCAGGGGGAAACAAGGTGGGGAATGGGGGGAAGGAAGGTGGGGAACAAGGGGGAGGATGGTGCGGGCCAGGGGGAAACAAGGTGGGGAATGGGGGGAAGGAAGGTGGGGAACAAGGGGGAGGATGGTGCCATCGCCAGAACTGAAGAGGGGAAGGGGGGTGGGAGGTGAGGAGGGGGGGAGGAAAGGATGTGGGGAAGGATGTGGGAGGGGAGAGGTGAAGAGGGAGAGGGGAAGGGGGAGAGAAGGGAACTGGTTGGAAAGGGAATGGGGTGGTGCAGATTCCGGTGCATTACGGTGGAGAGCAGTGCGGAGCGGTACAGCGCGCAGCAGGACCTACTCAGGGGTGTAGAACTGGAAATAGTGGCACGCCGCGGTGTTGGCGCAGTCCATGCAGCAATGCACCGGAAACGGTGGAGTGCGATGAAATGCGGAGGGGTGCGACCTACTATGGCGTGTAAAATTGCAGCGTTGTGGTGGCAGGCGGCGGTGTTGGCGCAATCCGTGCAGCAATCGGGAAAGGTCTTCGACTGTGATGGAGGGAAGGAGGGGGAAGAGAGGCCAAGGGAGGGCGCTTTTGAGTCGACTCAAGCGCGTGTTGGCGCAGTCCGTGCAGCAGTCGGGGAAGGTCTTCGACTGTCATGGGGGGAAGGAGGACGGGAACGAGGGGGCGGAGGAGGGGGAGGGGGGGCGAGGGGGGGGGAATGGAGTGGAGGGGACGGGAGGGGTAGGAGAGGGGATGAGAGGGAGGTGAGAACAGCGGAGGAGAGGAGGGGACGAAGATCGGTGAGTGGTAACCAGAGGAATGGACAGAGAGTGCAGAGTGAAACGCGAAATGAAACTGACGGAGCAAGGGCGTGACGGCAGAAAGGTGGGGGGGAGTGGAGTGGGGGGGGGGGGGAGGGGGAAGGGTGGGGGGGAAGAGGGGTCGAGATTAACAGTGAGAAGAAGGAAAGGGAGAGGAATGGGAGTGGTAAGAAACGGCTGGGGTGGAAGACGACTGGACGGGGAGGCGAAAGGGAAGGCGAAAGGGAAAGCGAAAGGGTACGCGGCTGGGCACGCAAATATGCAAACGCGACTCACATCAGTGGGCGTTCTTGACGAGGTCGGAGCTAATTCGCGTGCTGTAGATCTGATGAGGGGGAGACGGAATGGGACGGCGAAGAAAGGGGGGAGAGGAAAAGGGGGAGGGGAGAGGGGGGAGGGGAAGGAGGGGGTGGAAGGCGAGGGAGAGGAAGGGCAGAAAAAGACGGAGAGTGGGTGAGATCACTGGGCGTGGGTAGGCATATGGGAGCTGGCGGAGGAGATGACGGGGGCGGGAGGAGTGGACGCGACGAGAGGAAAGTAATGGAAAATAATGGCTGGAAGCGTCAGTCATCGGCGGTATCTAAGCCTGCCGAGTGTCCCCGCGCGCAATTCCAGTATGTCGCACTAGGCGGATTGGTCGAGTGAGGATGGCAGATTGGTCGAGTGAGGAGCGCGATTGGTTTACCTCACGGCGGGGCGATCGTTAACTAAATTCCCGCAAGGGCGTGAGTATTACAGTCAGCGTACAGTCTGGCCGCGCGAAATGCGGCATTGGCAATTCGGTTGTCGAGATTGTTGGAGAAGCGAGTTTCTGCCGCCCCAGCCCTTTGCACACAAGGAGCAGCAAGGGGGGAATGTCGGCGACGGAGTCAAGGCTTCGCGAAATATTCAGAAACTTCCGCAACCAATCAGATTTCAGCCGAAGTCTCTTTACAGTTCGGAATCACTTTCAGCCGAAGTGTTAACGCTTTCTACAGGTTTCTACAATCCAAAATCAGCTATATCAGAGAATTCCAGAGCCTTCTTATTCATGCACCTCATGTGGCTCTCAAAGTCACTCAAGGTCCATGGAAGCAGAATTGTGCCCAAGTTCCCAAGGAAGTTGCCTTGTCTAGCAGCCTAGTTTGAGCTACCTATCTGTCTTTGTTTGTGATGCTTAAAGAGTTGTGCCTTAGTGGGCTTGTACAATCTTGAGCATAGTGAAGTTTTACCTCATCCAGTCAATTCCAGTAGCCCTGCTAAGACTTTCCAGCCAAGTTTCCAGCCCTCCAGTAGTCACAGCTACTCTGTTTTACAAGTTGGTATCAGAGCTCGTCGTTTCGATCAACCGAGTCCACCACGTTCCTATCCTAGCATTATACGAGCATGGCGGGAGACAATCCGTCTGGCACTGCACTTCAGTCAGCCGGAGGAGCTTCAGAGTCAACCTCAGCAGCTACAGGTTTATTGGAAGCAGTTGCACCAGGAGGTTCTTCAACAGCATACTCACCACTCACCTCCTTCATGCCTAAGCTTCACCTTCCCAAGTTCAACGGCAAAGATTTTCCAACATGGGCAACTCAGTTTGAGCTCACTGCATCCCTTCTGGATCTGTGGCCTTACTATACTGGAGAAGCAGCCAAACCAGCAGCAGATGCTTCAGAAGCTGAAAAACGACTTTACGAACGGCGCAACAAGGAGGCCTTCCTCTACCTACTCAATAGCATTCACGAGCAGCAGTTGAAGTCGCTCCTGCCCTGTTCTACCAAGGCAAACAGTGCTGAGGAGGCATGGAGCCGACTGAAGTCTATGCACCAGTCAAAATCAGAGAGCAGCCAAGCCGAGATGTGGAGCCGCTTCATGAACCTGAAGAAGAGGAACCAGCCCAAACCTACCTTCAACGAGCTGAAACGATGCTAGAGGAAGCAGCAGCGATCGGCTTGGAGATTCCGGAGTCTCTTTTCAAGACCGTCATCCTTACTGGCCTTACATCGGAGTGGGACACTTTCCGTGCAACACTACAAGCGCTTCCGCAGTCAATGAAGAGTCGTGCGTTGCTCTTCGAAGCCCTTGTCAACGAGCAGCAAAGTCGAGACCTTGCACGAAGCAAGCGGAGTGACGAAGGTGCGTGGAGTGCTGCAGCAGCTACAAGATATGGCAACCAATCCCAGAGGCAAGGAAATTTCAGCCCAAACCGCCCTCAACCTTACTACGGTACGAAATTTCAGTCACCTTCCAACTCATACAAACCCTCTCGTTTTCCTCAGTCAAGTCCTCCTTATAAGTCCAGTCCCTATGTCCAGCCAAGGCCTTCAATTCCCAATCAATACCAGCCTAGGAATGCAAGAGTCAATCCGCCAAGAGTCAATAATTTCAGCCAAGCCTCGAATGCTAAAAAGTTTAGTTTTGAATGTTTTTGTTGTCATGAGTGGGGTCACCCGTGGTATGCTTGTCCTAAGAAGCCTCCTAATTGGGTCCCCCCACCTCAGCTACTATCTGAAAAAGGTAAGGCAGTCATAGCAAATCTAGGAAGTCATTCTACAAGTCAAGATGAGTCCAAGGATTCCGATGGTCCTGTTCTTTTCAATGCCGCTACTTGCATGCACGTATTTACTACTACTAGTGAGGAGTTTATTCTTGATAGTGGCTGTTCTGAAACCATGACTCCCTATCAGTCCACTCTCAAGGATTATCAGCCCACGTATGACTCAAAAGTGGTGACTCTTGCTGATCTTGGCAAAGTCCCTACCAAAGGAGTCGGCAAGCTTGAGTTCGAAAAAGATGGTAAGTCATTTTGTGTCAATAAAACTTTGTTTGTTCCTGATTTGGGAGCAAACTTGCTCTCAGCTGGACAACTCGAAGAGAAAGGTGCCTCTGTACTCTTGCAAGGGGGGAAAGCCAAAGTGTGGGACAGTGCAGGAAATTTGGTGGCTGAAGGCGAGCGTACCGGGCGGCTCTACAAGATGAAATTGGAGATTAAGCGCGGTTCTAGCAACACGAAGAACGACGTTGTCTCGCTTCCCGCTGTTTCAACCGATCAAGTCGACAACAAAGGGAGTATCTCCCAAGCTGAGGTATGGCATGCACGCTTGGGACACTTGGGAATGCAAGCATTGAAAGAGTTGGTAAATCACAAGAGTGTGGAAGGATTGAGTTTGAGTGAAAGTGCAGTCAAGTCCCTTTCTTCCGTTCCATGTCCATCTTGTGTCGAAGGCAAGCTAGCTAGAAAGCCATTTTTCCCTTCTAAGTCTCAGTCAAGGGACCTCCTAGAGTTGGTCCACACTGATGTATTCGGCCCCATGCGAGACCCTACTCGAAACGGTAAGAGATGTTTGGTGTCTTTCATAGATGACAAGAGTCGTTTCTCGTGGTCCTTTTTCATCAACACCAAGGATGAAGTTCACAAGTGTTTCAAGCAATGGCTAGCACTTGTTGAGAGAGAGTCAGGGAAAAAATTACTCACCTTGAGGTCGGACCGAGGAGGTGAGTACATGGGGAAAGCATTTCAGGGGGAGTTGTTGGCATTGGGCATCAAACAACAGTTCACTTGTCCCTATAGTCCTCAGCAAAATGGAGTGGCAGAGAGGTTCCATCGCACTATTCAAGCTATAGCTACCACTTTTCTCCAGTTTAAGGGCCTTGACAAGCTCTGGTGGGGTGAGGCAATCACTATGGCAATTTATGTTCGCAACAGGAGACCCACAAGGCCCCTACCGGATGGTGTAACGCCATATGAGGCTTGGTTTGGAGTTAAACCAGATCTGTCTATGCTTCGTGTTTTTGGTTCCATGGCCCAATACCGTGTTCCAGATGCAAAGAGACTCAAGCTGGACAGCAAAGCTCATTGGGGCCTCTTCATCGGCATGAGCAACGAGAGCGAGGGATGGGTCCTTTGGGATCCCGTCACCAAGCGAGAAGTGGTTTCAAGGGATGTTGTCTTCTATGAAGACATGTCCCTCGCAGGTTGGCACAAGTTTTCCTCTTCCTCCTCTCTACCACCCCCTATCCAACAGGAACCAGCAAGAGCACCTGAGGAAACAACACAAGAAGAGGAAGAAGATGACCCCGATTCTGACCATAGCGGACCCATCATCGATCTCCCGCAAGCCGTCGTCAACGAGACCAGCCGTGCCACACTAGTGCCACCAGCAGCTACTTAACCAAGTGGAGATGAAGTTCAGCCATCAAATGAAGACCATCCAACTCAGGAAGTCACCGTTCCATCACCGCCAAAGGAGCAGCAGCCAACTGTCAGAAACCAGCCAACTACTTCAACACCAACCTCGCAAGTTCAACGTCAACCGGATCAGCCCACCACTACACCATCAAACCCATCACTAGACGTCACCTCAGAGGCAACTACAGAAGCTCACCATCATCCAATGCAGCAGCAACCGACAGCTTCAAGACCTCAAGTACCTACATCAACACCATCTACGATTCTTCCTAGCAACAAGCCAACCGTCACCGCAACACCTCGCTCTCATACCACACGTTCATCACTTCAGGTTCCAACGTCAAGCCAGCTCATAGCACGAGGATCACTTCAGCGAGTCACCACCAACACCAGCTCCAACAGCCCACTTCTTCACCCAAGACCTTGTTCAACTTCACCCCCACGTTCCGGAATCGGCCGTCATCAGTTACCATCATCTTCTACACCGAGAAACAACACCAATCAGCCCCATTCATCACCACCTCTCGACAACGCAGCGTCATCATCAATTCCTAAGCTTCTAGTCTCAAGATCCCCACCAAGAGCATCTTCACAACCAACTATGCCGACGAACGTTTCAGCTTCACCGCCACGAGTCACCACACCTATTCCTCAAGTCGACACCGATAATCGAGAAAGTTCCATGCCGGGAGAAGATCATGCAGCCGTGCCGCCGTCGCAGCCGATGTCGCAGCCGTTGTCTCAGCCGCAAATGACCGTATCAACACATCCAAACACTGTGAGACCGAACCCTACCACTGATGTGTCTCAGCCAAGTGAGGAATATGGTAAAGGTAAACGAGTCCGCAAGGTAAAAAAGCCCTTCACATTCATGGTTGACATGTCATCAAGGTGCACATATGAGGAGAGCGAGAATTGCATTCACAAGAAGGTAGAGGCAATATGCATGGCAGCGTCACACCTTCCACGAGAGCCATTGAGTCGTCGTGAGGCAGTGGCAAGTCCCGAGAGAGAGCATTGGTTGAAGGCCGAGGAAGAAGAGATTGAGAGTCTCATGAAGAGAGGTACATGGCGTCTTGTTGACCCACCTCCAGGGAAGAAGGTAATCGGTGTAAAATGGGTGTACAAGATTAAGGTAAAAGGTGATGGTAGCCTTGATAGGTACAAGGCAAGGTTAGTGGCAAAAGGTTATTCCCAAATTCCAGGTCTTGACTTCACCGAAACCTTTGCCGCGGTAGCAAAGTACACCACGGTACGAGTCCTCCTCGCCATAGCCGCATATCTTGGTCTCCATATCCATCAAATGGATGTCAAGAACGCATTTCTCTACGGTGTCTTGGAAGAAGAGGTATACATGGCACAACCCGAAGGTTATGATGATGGTACGGGTCGAGTTTGTCGCTTGGTAAAGTCACTTTATGGTCTCAAACAGTCCCCACGGGTATGGTATCATGCTCTTGAGAAGGTACTCTTCAAGCACGGTTTCACAAGGTCCATGAGAGACAACGCTTTGTACTTCATGCACACGAGTGAGGGGGAGTACATTTGGCTCTTGGTATATGTCGATGACCTCCTCCTGGTCTCAGGTTCTCTTGATCTTCTCAACAAGGTGAAAGGTATTCTCATGAGCGCATTCACAATGACCGATCTTGGTGAGCCGAGTCAATATCTTGGTATGAACATTGTGAGGGATCATAAGTCACGGTCCATCTTCCTATTCCAGCAAAGGTACATCCAAAAGGTCCTTGAGAGGTTTGGTCTTGATGATAGCAAGCCATCACCTACCCCGCTTCCTTCCAACTTTGTCCCTTTGTCTTCACATCAGCCCTATGAGGAGAGAGAGTCAAGCCTTGACATCACGGGTATTGAGGAGTTGGGTCTTGAGGAGAGTGAGCATCATGGTGAGAATTCAGCCAAGGTATCCCCACAAGACCTAGCTCTCTACCAAAGTCAGGTTGGGTGTCTCATGTATGCAGCCCTATGCACAAGGCCTGACTTAGCCTTCACGGTATCCAAGCTAGCTCAACACATGAGTGCCCCATCACCCATCCATATGCATGCAGCCAAGCGAGCTCTTCGGTATCTCAAAGGTACTTCTAATCTTGGTCTTCTCTTCCAAGCCAGCCCACATGCAAGCTCCCTTCAAGGCTTTACCGATGCAGATTGGGCGGGAGAATTGAGCACACGGAAGTCCACCGGCGGCTACATTTTCCTCATGTGCGGTGCCGCTGTTTCTTGGCAATCACGCAAGCAAAGTTGTGTGGCGCTTTCTACAACCGAAGCTGAGTACATGGCAATGACCGAAGGAGCAAGGGAGGCAATCTGGTTACGTGGACTCTTGGAGGACTT